CCCCAAAACCCCAAAACCCCAAAACCCCAAAACCCCAAAACCCCATTATGAATATTACTGTTTGAACTCATAATTATTTTACTACAAATAGTTGTCATATTGTGGAGTAGATCCTATTGGAAGTTGAGTTGTTCCCTCTCCCGTCTCTCAGCTCATCTTATGCTTATCTTTTCTTTTAGCAATAGGTGAATAACAATCGGTAGCTGTGTTCCTGTTGTCTTCATCCACGATGCTCTCTACCTTCTTGAAGGACTTTTTATTCCCAGGTTTATCGAAGGAGAATAAATCATCGTTCAGTCCTATTAAATCAAAAGGGTCTACTTTATCAGGTTTGTCTTCACCTGTTTCAGTCTTGAAGATATTGAATCCATCGATGGTTTTCTTCTCTTCTTTTTCCTGAGGTATTTTGCCCATCTTCTCAAAATCTGGGAACAAATTTTTATTGGTGTTCCTAGTAGTTAGCTGCTGCTTCTGAAAACTCTTCTTTCGGATGTTCAATCCTTTCTTTTCGGAGGATAAGTAGGAAGTTAGCATGCTTATAATAATCCACTTTTATCCTTTTGGGCGCCTCTTTGAGTTTTATATCCTTGAATCTGGGCAACTTGTTGTTCTGTTGAGCCCCCAAGTCCTCACAGATTCCTACTTCTAGCAGGCTTCTTCTGGTTCTGAATTGTCTTGTTCAAGTTGAACTTAGAATTAAATTTTGATAGCTCGAAAAACAACTGTGAAGATAACTTCAAGCTTGCCTTTGAAGTCTTAAACTGCTTTGGTTGCTTAGGCTGATTCTTTTCTTTCCTATTCTTAGTCAACTTCAGAGACTTCTTAGTAAATTTAGCTAACCTCAAGGGCGACTTTGTCGTCCTAGTAGTTAAGCAAACCTTCGCCTTAGGAATCTTCCTGCTTTTAGAGCAGGATTTACTATGACTCTTGTCAGAAGTAGCGCTTGGCGCTCTTCTGGAAGAGTAAACGTTAAGTATCTTGTCTAACTTAAGGCTGAGCTTCTTCTTGCTCTGAGCTTTGATGGCTCTCATAATATCTGTCTTCTTGATCTTCTTCTTGGACTTTTTACTTTTCTCTGGAGATTTAAAGCTTCGATAAATCTGCTCCTTCTTCAGCACAGATCTTGCAGAGAGAAGGCCCTTATCACTAGGAACCACCAAGGTTCCCTTGAGTTGGAGGTTTTTGGAAGATTTATCTGCATTTTTGCAGATTTTTATCTTATTTAGAATTAATGCTTAGGTTGCTCTTGTTTCTTGGTCTAGATGTCTTAGGGGATTTAGTAGTCTACAATGTCATTTAGTACAATAATACCTTGAAGTTATGCTTAAATACACTTTGTTGGTACTTTTGAAACTCGTTAAAGGCAGCCAAGTTCTTTTGGATTATAGTATTTTCACTGAAATCATGAGTGAGCCGAAGAACCTCAGAGTCTTTTGAAGTTCCTCTGTGAGTTTTTGCCGACTTTTTAATTTTTAACCCTTCTTTTCTTGGTTTTGATTTGTTGACTTCAAGGAGACTAGCGTAGTTCTTGATTTTCCCCCTAAAATTACAATGAGACTACATAAATCATTCTGAAGAGTTAAGAGAAGTAAAGGAGGAATAAATAAAATTCTAAGCTTACATCATTAGTTTCTGCTGCTTCTTGTGCTTGATTGTATTCTATATCAAAAGTCAGATCCTGCTCGCTTGAAACTTTTAGGTAATTGTCTTATAACTTTTGAAAATGATTAATAGAAGGGCCCTTACTGTTTGAAACTCAGAAGTTTGTTTTGCGTCCATTTTAAATCAAATTTTAAATTTAGAGGGGTTTTGGGGTTTTGGGGTTTTGGGGTTTTGGGG